AGTCTCTAGCGCCTTCTTTCAACTTAAGCTAGGCCACTGTTACCTAAGAGACTTTCTCTTTACGCGAGACAAAGTAGACTCTAAAGTTTGCCCCTGCAACTATAGAGCTACTCAAGATCCTACCCATATCCTCCTTAGCTGTACGCTATATAAGGAGGCTAGGATAAAGATGCAGGAGGCGAGCAAGGACCCCCTATCGCTAGCCTTCCTGCTAAACACGAGCGTAGGCATACAGGCTACTATTGCCTTTATTGAAGAAACTAGGGCTGCAACACAGGCCTGGCACAAAGGAAACCTCGAGAACTAGGGCAACACCTATACTAGGTGGCCTCGCCCTACACCCACCCTACCTCTCTCTTTTACCCGCAAGACCCCCTTCTACCTCCCTCTAGACTAGGCTACGAGCCTCACCTCGATTTAGATAGCCCCCTCCCCCACCTACACCAAAGTGATAGCACTACGTAGATACTTGCGGGCCTAGCCTGCACGTCTTATATAGCCCACCGGCTGAGACAGGACGTAAAACCAAATAATAATAATAATAATAATAATATAACAACGAAAAAACTCAACTGACGACAAGTGTGATGGGCAAAGATGCTAGCCTAGTTCAACTTTAAGATTACGCACCGCGCGGGAACGCTCAATAAAGCAGCAGACGCTTTAAGTAGAAGGTCTAATTTGCGCGAAGAGGGTTATAAAGAACCACATAACGTCTTACTTAAGACGATGCCCGATGGCAGTCTGAAGTACAACCAGCCGGAACTAGCTAAGGTAGCTAAGATAGCCGAGTAGGTAGAAACACTACAGAAATAATAGTAGGAAAAAGCAACGTTATAGGCGTCAGAAACGAACCCCTACCCGCCAGAAGTAACAAACGATAGGAAAGAGCTTAAAGCTCTAAGAGAATGTACAAGCACGTACATACCCCCACATATAAGAACCGAACTCATTAAGACCCTACACGAGTCCCCAGAATATAGACACGCAGGTGTGGACGAAATAGTTAGACGACTAGCTAAGGTATTTACGATACCACGCTTGCGAGCGAAGGTGCAGGAAATACTAGGCAACTATTTAGCATGTCACCAGAACAAGCCCAAGAGACATAAGCCCTACGGCCTATTACAACCCTTACAGCCACCATCTAGACTATAGACAAGCGTAACAATAGACTTTATAGTAAAGCTCCCGAAATCATTAGAACTAGGATCAGCTCGATTTTACGACACTATCCTAGTAATCGTAGACCGATTAACTAAAGCAGCAAAGTTTATACCTACGGAAGAGACTATTACGGCAGATAAATGCGCGTACGAAGTCACTAAAGCATTAGTATTAGAGCATGGGATACCTAAAGAGTTCATCACCAATCGTAATAAACTGTTTACGTCTAAATACTAGAGCACATTCCTAGCAAAGTTAGGTGTTAAGAAGAAGCTTTCGACAAGCTTTCACCCAGAAACAGACGGCCAGACGGAACGCACAAACCAGACATTAGAACAGTACCTACGGATGTACGCCAACAAATTGCAGAACAACTAGGTAGAGTTACTACTGACAGCGCAATTAGCCTACAACAGTACAAAATCAGCAATAACAAAGCATTCGCCGCACTACGCGAACTACAGATATAAGCCGACCGCTCACCGAGATCCGAAGGACATCGAAAGTATCGCGGTAGAAGCAGACGACAAGGCGAAGCTCATGCGAGAATTACACGAAGAATTAAGCAAGAACATAGCTCAACGAAACCTCACGACATCCAAAGCAGCGAATAAACTAAGGATTGAGAGACCAATCTTTAAGAAGGGGGACAAAGTTTTCTTATCACGACAAAACCTAAAAACTAAACGACCATACAGAAAATTAGACAACCTCCAAATAGGACCATTCAAAATCCTAGAGGAAATAGAAAAAGTAAACTATAAGTTAAAACTCCCACAAGGCATGCGAATCCACCCTGTCTTTCACAAGAAACTCCTAGAACCAGCACCTCCAGATACCAAGCTAGCAACGGACATAGAGCTCGAAGACGACGAGTACGAGGTCGAAGAAATTAAGGACCTGCGGAAAATCGGTAGTCAGTGGAAGTACTTAGTTAAATGGCAAGAATGGCCGGATAGCCATAACACTTAGGAACCTAAAGGAAACCTAACGAACTGTAAGTCACTAGTACGTAAGTACCATCAGAAACATCCACGGAAGCGAGAATGGGATTCTCATAAGAAAGGAAGAAGTCAAGGGACAAAGAATCATGAGAAGAAGAATAATCAGCCTGTAACCAGCCCAGGTCAGTCGAGGGTCCGAATAGCGATGGTCCAGTTGACAGAGAATCCGTACCAGGGGCTAAGCTCCCCTCAGCCTTTTCTTTTGCACGATCTTAGAACGCAAGAACGGCGAGATCGCGACGAGCGAACAAGCGCTCGCAAGATTTCACCTCTAGAAGTTCACAACGAAGACGCGCGGCGTCCTCCTCAGCTCGAGCAACCTCAAGCTCCTTTTGCTCACGCTCTTGCTGAATTTTCTCCCACTCTTCCTCGGAAACAAACAAGCTACACTCAGCTTTCACAGAAATACAACTAGCGCAACGGCCAGTTGCAGTGTCCACGAAACAACGAAGGTTCTTCTCTTCACAACGAGAACAGCGATAAGAAGTCATCTCGTTCCCTTGCTCTATTACACGATCAGCACGGGAATAACGCTCTTCGTTCGACTTTTGAGCGCGAACACGGGTGCGGGAAGACGGGACCTTGGGCATGGTTAGGAAGGCTGGAGTCAGGAAGGAACGGTTACAATGGCCCGGGGCCTACCGACCTTATATGCAGCCAGCGATTCAACACGCGGCACGGCGAAACGATATTCCAGGGTATCGGGACGATAGCCCTAAGAAGGGAGGTAATGTTACAAGTAACAAGAAGGATTCTTTCCTTGACAAATGACGAGATGGCTGCGAGCCTAGGGACGTCCACGTCAAAAGGTAATGGACATTGCGGGGCTCGGAGTCACGTGATGTGCCATCCCGCCAAGGCTGGCCATCCGGGATGGCAGTGCATAAAGGGATGGCAGCGCCATCCCAGACCTCCCGCCAAGATGG